GTGCCACATTATTGGCCGGTTCTAAATGTAGGCATACGTGGCGGCTAGCTATTGGCTTGCTAGCCGTACAAAAGGCTTGGGTAGTTTCCGCCCAAGTCGGAGAGAGAGGAAAACTGGAGAGATACAGAACTCGCTAGGAGGAGGAGACTTCGCGCTGTGTGAAGATCTCCAAGCGATGTGGACCCTTGCAGACCCAACGCACCTTTCTTAAGCAGGCAACGGAGGTCTGTTTAGCTTCTAGCCTCTCCCAGTCACCGAGCGCAATCCTAGACGTATCCCTATCCTATATACCCAATTTTCGAACCCACGGAGTCTTAACAGTTCCGGGGGACCTGGGAACTGAACAGAACCCACGGAGATTCAGCCACTCCGTGAGGAAAGAATTGCCGAACCCGCGGAGCCTAAACCACTCCGGGGTCAAAGAACCGAGTTTGTCAGAGTCCTCCAACAAGGATTCAAGCGGAGCTGCGCCTGGAAAGCTGTCCAGCCTACACCGCGACCACCTTGGGTGTAAGTAAATAATCTTTTCAATCAACCATTATGCCTCCGTAACTGATTCTAGCTTGCGCGTACCTTACCGCCCCGCGGTCCCTTCTGACCCCGCGTGCCCGGGCTGCTGGCCACAGTCCGCGTGCACAAAGACGGGCCCGGCTCGCACATAGCGAGGATGGGATCAGGAGCCGGCCCACACAAAGCCTACACTGAGTAATGTATACAGTGTAAATTGTACCCTGTTCCATGAAACTGAATGAATGTTTTATATTTGCCCTTTTTGCCATATTCAGTCCGAGTACTTCCATATTACCTTTGTGAAGTTGTAACAAGTTACCTGAAGAATTTAATTTTCTTCATATTGTGTAGGCTGCAAAACAAACTTGGAATTTTTTAAGGTGTGATGATGTAGAGTGGTATATGTGCTTTTCTTTTTCTCTTTCTTTTCTTCTCCTAGAACCTGTGTCCTACATTCTGGTGTCTACAGCAATAGGTCAGCATGCAGTTTTTTTCTATGTTGGGATTAGTTCTATTTTAGCACTACATGTAAATACCACATTTTTTTCCCCAAATATACAGCTCTCTAATTCTGCTGCATTGGAAGGGAAAGGGCAGTTAAAATTTACTTCTGGACGATGGAGCCCACATCACAATTGCACACAAGTTGCAACAGCCAATGACACTACTATTCGAGGATGGGATACACGAAGCATGAGGTAATGAAAAAATGCTCTTTTGGTCTTAAAGAGGTATTTTTTATTTAAAGTTTGATGTTAAAAGTTGAAAATAATATGGTTACATAGTTAATGAATGGGTTTGGATTGCATAATATAATAATGCAATAATAACATAATATAATAAGCAAAATATAACAATAACATAATATAATTCGTAACTTTTAATAAAAAAAATTTCTTTTTTTTCTAAGCACCTAATCTGACTTGCATATTGAGTTATTGAGGAACTATGCAGTGACTGCAATTTGTTGGTTCAGTACACAGTCTAGGCATTACTTAAGCTGTACTGCTCTGTAATTAAACTTGAAAATCAGTATTTAAATCAAACTGCCTGAACTAATGGTTGCTTCCTTACTGCATTATTTAAAGGTGATTTAAATCTTTAGATATAAGCTAAAGTTATACTTTTATGATTTTAATAATGATAGTATCTAAGATTCTAACATGCTAGTTTTACATAATCCTGGATTTATTAAAAAACAAAAGTATGACCAAAGACAAATAAAACCTTTCAAATATACCAAATAAGGGACTTCTTTCCTGCTAGATTGTGATTTTGATAAGCGAAGGATTGATGTTGTGCACATCTGTTGCTATGACTACAGAAACCCGTGCAAGCTTTTTTAAGATACAGTTTATCCCCTTAGCGCACAGTAATTTATCACTAAACTGAGAAGACGGATGTCTTGCAATAACTTCTGTTGCCTTTAAGGGGGATGACTTTAAATCTAGTTCTTAACTCCTACAAGCTCTGGAGTGTAGCAATAAATCCACATGTTTTCCAATCATGTAGTTTTCTGCCAAAAAGGCTTTTTTAATTTCATAAATGAAAGCTAAAAATACATATATAATTACTGTAAGCCATTTCTTCTTGTACTTGGAACATCTGGTTTGCCACACCAATTGTTCATTCTGTAGGAGGACATTTAACAATCTAACTTCATATTTCCATTAAATGCTGTCTTTAATAAAGTATGCAGGAGGCATGCTAAAGGACAAAATAAAAGAGTTTTTAAGTTCCTCTCTTGTTTTATGTGATGCTTCCATTTTAGCATGTTATGTACACACTTTGAATGCAAAGCCTATGGCGCAGGTCTTATTTGATCTCTAAGACATTTAAGTTGTCATCGTCACTAGACCCCAAACTGCATTTCTTCTCAGGAATGTGCCCCATTTCCCAGGATGGTGCACCCAAGAAGCCAGTCTTATTTCACCACATTAAGCTTCAGCTAGAATATTGTATGCGCTCCTGGGCTTTATATTTAAGAAAGGATGTAGAGAAACTGGAGAGAATCCAGAGGTGAACAACAAAGGTGATAAAGTGATTGGAATGTAAACTATACAGGGAAAAGTGGGGGGAATTAGATATGTTTAGTCTGTAGAAAAGGAAATTTAAAAGAAGATATGATATTTGAAAGGATGCCATAAGAAGAGGGAAAAATATCATGCTCCTTTGCCACCGAATGGCAAGGCACAAAGCAGTGATTAAATCTCAGGGAAAAAACCCCATAACCACAGTACAATGGAACAAGCTGACTGGAATCATCACTGAAATTTTTCAAGAAGAAGCTGGAGCAGGGATGGCAGTTATTTGGGTGGAGGGCCACTTAATGAGTTTTGGTGTGCTCTTGAGAGCTTCTCTTGCACTTGCTCTCTCACTCTTTGTCCCCCCCTCACTCCCACCCTCTCCATCCCCACCCCACCTAGACCTGCAGCACATCTGAATCCCTACCCTGCCCAGAACCTGCTGACCATGCCTACAGCTTATGCCAGCACCTGCCAGTTATGTGCCGGCATCAGCAGTGGATACAGCTAGCAGGTTCCAGATGGGAATTGGGGCATCTGCCCAGCTCCACAGCTGATGCTGATGCATCAGTGCTGGGTGGAAGCTGTCCCGCCTGCCTCCTTGCGCCCCACCGCTGTGCAGCAGAAACAGCCCCACCCTCCCAGCACCATGTAGCAGCTGGAGCCACCAGCTACCTGTGGGCTGGGTCCTGTGAATTTTGTGGCTGCCCACCCACAGGCCAAATACAAGCAGTTGGCAGACCAGATTTGGCCTGTGGGCTGTTTTATCTGCCCTTGAGCTAGAGAGATATTGGTTTGAACAGTGGTTTTCAGCCTTTTAAAACTCAAGGCAGTACTTGGTAACTTTTTGGAATGTAGTGGCTAATTCTAAATGCTAATTTATTTCATATGGTGCTTCACTTCTTGCACCCTGTGGCACCCTTAAAAGGGTTTCATGGGGTGGCAGGGCAGACAGCAGTAGGCAGGGCTGCCCCTGAGAGCTGAGTAGAAGGTGGTGCATAGTAGTTGCAGTGGCAGGGCAGATTGGAGAGCATGGGGGAGGGTTATTAGATCCCTGAAGGAGGCAGCTGTCCCTGCAGAAGACAATATCTGCTGGTACAGACTGGTGCCAGGCAAGGGTGGCAGGAGCAGAAGCCTTCTGTGCCCTACTCTCTCCTCAGTTTGTCCACTCCCTGCCACCAGTCTGTACCTAAGAAGGTACCCAACACAGCCCCTATTGCTACTACTGTTTCTCTGGGGACTTGAATGCCAAACCATTCCCTGTGACCCTTCCCATCAGTTCTGGGAGCATGCGAGGAGCTAGAGAAAGGGCCTGGCTGAAACAGCTCAGACCCCTGTTCTTACCATGGGAACAGCACAGCACAGGGGCTATGGGGTGGGCAGGAGCTGTGCTTTTCAGTTTAGCTTGTTCTCTGTCTCCTTCCATGCAACCACAGCTGGTGGGAGAGGGCCATGTGGGGTGCTGCCAGAAAGTTGGGGCAGGTACAAGGTGTGTCCTATATGTGCAGGAGCCACTCTTACCTCTCATAGAGACTGGGTACCATGGCATCCTACAAAGGATCTTGCAGCACCTTGGTTGAGAGTCACTCATCTGGAATGATTTAGAAATAGCACATTCTGCATCTTCATAGTGAGTTAGTCTGGGTGACTCTTGATTTAACTTCAGACAGTTTGATTCTGTGATGTGTATCTCCCATTTTGGCAAAGGGAAGCTGTATACACAAGTCCAGAAAGTGATCCTGTTCTGTTTGGCACATTGGGAAAAGGGGAGAGCTACCTCAGGCACCCCATCATATCAGGATCTAGCTCCCTCAGAAGGGAGACATCCTTTTGGGATCTAGCTCAGTCCGAGAGAGGTCTGCCTAGATCAGTGTACCTAACTGAAAAGCAGTAGCATTGACTTCAATGGGCTAGGGAGCAGAGTGCGGTGGGGAAGAAGAAGATCCACTCACTTTTTGCTCAATAGCTTAGTGGTTTTGGCACTTGTCCAGGAAGTGAAGGATCTGTGTGTTAGGTCCCACTCAACCAGAGAGGGTCGATCCCACATCTCTCGCTTCCAGGGAGAGTGTCTGAGCTAGCAGGATATTGGCTGGACAGCCTGAGAGCACTCCCCATCCTTCCTGTTGAAGAAGAACCACTTGCTGGAATGCAGTACAAGTTGTGAGGTCATAAGGAGATCATGCCAGAGGGAGTCTGACTCTGCCTTAAAAAGGTAGACATTTCCTGGGGCAAAGAGGCTATAGCTTCTGTTCCCTATGGTGTTTATGGAGCTTACTAAATCATTATTTGGCACAAAATGCTTAAGCCTCATTGCAGCGTGGGCCAGAACACAAGGCTCTCCATCTATCCCTTGCAAGAGGGTACCCACCTCCCTGAGCTAGAGGGGCAACCTCCTGTCTGACTTAATGATGCTTAGAACCCAGGTCTCCCACTTCCTTGGGAAATGTCCTATTCACAAGGCTATTTACCAAATAGGAGGAGACATCCTCTTCTACTGCACTGCATGTATGATCTCAATATCAGTCAGTTGGTTAGCATAACTTTTCTCAAAATAATTGGGAATTTGTATGGGTTTTTTGTAGCTCTCCAATGGAATGGGTTTGAAATGGAGCTTAGATAGAGGTAAACATCTAGAGGACCATTCTGTATCACTTCTGAGCATGCAAAATTGGCCAAGTTCAGTCACTTAATTGTCTTTCCACTGGAGACCTGAATGGAGATGCATAATGAATCTAGACATCTTAGAGTTTTTGTGGCTGCTGATGGGAGTGGAATAAGTTTGAGTTTAGTGATTTGGGAGCCTACAAGCTGAATAAGTCTCACTTGCATGTCTTGGAAGTAGACTTGGCTTATGTTTTTAAGAAGGAAAGTATGTGAGTAGGATGCTTTATGTGCACATAGTGGGCACATCCCATGAGCGTGCATGTGTGGCTTCTGGTGCTGCAAGCCAGTTTTGATCCTGGAGTCAAATACAGTGGTGTGGCACATGTGGCTACAGCATGTGCTGCCAGAAGTGGAATCTGGCTGGCCAGGCTCCAAGCGGCTGGCTTGATGCTATTGCTACCCCAGCACCCCAGGTAAGGCTGTTGGAGCCAGCTCAGGTGCTGGCCCCAGCCTCCCCTACCACACATGGGGAAATTTGCCACACGTAAGAGTGCATGGGCGTCCTCCAGGAACAAATAGCAGTGGCACAAATATGTGCCCTTGCTATTTATCCCTCAGGGAACATGCACTCCTGCATGTGCATGCTTGTGGACGTGCCCAGTGATTTCAAGTTTCATGTAGTAACCAAGGTTAGATCTAGTGGAGGGTTGGGGGTTGGTATTTAATTCCTCTTCAATTCCTCCTCCACTCCTGCTGTCAGTGAGAGCCAAGGACCTGATCCTGCTGGAGCTGAGCTGCTCTGTTCCTCTTCCTGAGCTGGGCGGGCAGTTAGCAGCCCTTGCCAAATTAGCCCAATCCTCCCAGAGCTGGGAGGATCCTCCCTGCCCTGTTCCTGAGTTGGGCAGGGAGCCAGCAACACCTGTTACCTCCTGCCAGTCTCAGAACCTAAGGGCCCAATCCTGACTGCACCCTCTTTTCCAAAATCCTAGATCCATTGTTAGCAGTTAATCTTCTGGAAAATGTTTCTAAGCAGGGCATTTAATGAGTTACCTTAATACATGCCAAACAGA